GGCCATTTTGTTTTAAAGAATTCAGTTCTGGATCCGTATCTGAGACATGCTTGGATTGATCGAGTTCAAACTTCACACACACAAGGTACATCATGTCACAAATATGTATGTGCATTTGTTTCATGATCTCATTAACGATAGCCAAATGGCGGCCGCTTTAAGGCCGAAAATGCATTGAAATCGCACATTTTCACCATTCCGGACCCAGATCTCAGTTATGCATGAACGGATTTCGTTCAAATTTGGTACATACATTAAACATAATAGGACCTTGATGCACGTCATTTTTTTTCCCCGGATCATGTTCGAAATGGCCGACTGGCGGCCATTTTGTTAAAGAATTTAGTTCTGGATCCGTATCCAAGACATGTCTGGATTGATCAAGTTCAAACTACACACACATGGTACATCATGTCACAAATAGATATGTGCATTTGTTTCATGATCCGCTTAACAATAGCTGAATGACGGCCATTTTAAGGCCGAAAATGCATCAAAATCACGTATTTTCACAATTCCGGAACCGGATCTCAGTCATGCATGGATGGATTTTGTTCAGATTTAGTATAATGTGTTGTACATATGCAGGTGCATTTCGGTCATGATCTGCTTCGAATGTATATGTCACTCAAATATGAACGGAACGGGGACGTGTCATTGACAATGACTTGTTTCATTTTTAGTTATAAATTGTAATCAAAACTAGTCACACTGGTGATTTCTCACTTTCTCAAATTATCATTAGTATACATTCACTTTGTTTATCTAAAACTATAGCAATAGTAAATGTGATCTGTCTTTATTATTGCAGATCAACTTCGTGAGGACACGCAGGTTGGAACTAGTTTTCTCCGTGTTGCGGCTCAGGATGCTGATACTGGTTACAATGCTGAAATTTCATATTCCTTGTCTGATGAGGAATACTTTAGTGTAAACAATGCTACAGGCTGGGTTTATGTCAAGAATGCTATATATCTATCTCAGGTGAGACTCGCATATTCTACGGTTTTGTTAATTGATTATAAAATTACTGTCGCCGCCAAAACAGCAACATTACCAGTTACTGGCTGATTTGCAATGCACATCTTAAAATAGTTACATTATTAGAACCAGCATAATTTTTATGATATACATAAGGGAAATTATTCTAGTTATTACTATATATCCTGGAATTTATTCAAGGCGTTATAGCCACCGCACCATGTTGTATTTGAGATTCATAGTAATGTATGAAATGCATGTATAAAAATTATATATTTACATGAAATTCAAATGTGCTACATGACAACTTTAGCTCTTTAATTTATGTCCTTACAGAGTCAGATAATTGACAGTGTTATAAACATATTCACTACTTTGTATCTCAATGGGCAAGGTTGTAATAGTTATGCTATGTTTTGATAGTATATATAGTTAAAGCTGTTGCAGAGATGATAATACAGAATAACATGGGACTGTTATATTAATAATATAAGTAATAAAAATAATAACTTTATTGTATCCTTAGAAATACAGTGTTTCTATCAGTTATAGCAACAAAGATAAAATACAAAAAAAAAATGATACAAAAAAAAAATAGTCAAAAGTGTTGTTTTCATTTTTTGCAAGGAACGAGAAATGTATGAACACTTTGTGATTATATTTTTATTAGTACTTTCCATTAAGAATATAAATTTGTGTTTGTAATTTGTGATCTCAGATGGAAACGTTTGAAAGCATGTCAGTTCAATGGTTTTGGCATTTAGGGCATAATATAAAAAAAATGTATTTCGTCTTGTATAATTATGTTGAAGAGAGCAGTGACTGCAGATCCTATGTTCTAGTGCGGTTTTAGACTGAGTATGCCAACCTTTTTCTATTGCCTAAATATCACTAATGTCTTTTTACCACTGAGGTTTTAACTACTGCAATATTTTTGTAATAATAGGATGATAAGATCTACCTCAATTTGATGGCTACTGATCAAAAAGGAACTGGTCGTCAAGACACAGTTCCACTTTCAATCACAATATCGGACATCAATAATGAACCACCAGTTTGGGATGCTAGTACATATGGTCCTATCTCCCTACGTGAAGATGCAGCAACAGAAACAGTGGTGGCTAGAGTCAAAGCTACCTCTATATTAGATGATCCACGTGTTACGTACAGTTTAGTTCAAGGACAACGGCCAGAGAGTAATAATCCCATGAGGTTTTATATAACTACTGATCGAGAAGATAAATCGGGAGAACTCAAAGTATTCCATCGGTTGGATTACGAAACTACACCTAGGTATTTACCTAAATTTACAATTAGTCTTCCCTCTTAAAAGCTGGGACATCATGTTTTTCTGTGTTGATCAGTAGTAGTCATGTCTTTTTTTGTTCAAGTGAGAAGAAACAGTGGATAAGTTGCTAGTGCCAACAAAACTAAAAAACCATCATCTGTTCACATGTATATATTATTTATTTGTTTTTTTTTCTGCTAAAAAGCAAAAGATCTAGCAAAAAACAAATTTTATTCAATCGGTTGTCATTTTGACTGGCTACCTGCTGCTTTCAACATTACTGCTCAGTAGTCAAATATAATTCCAGGAAAATTAGGTACGCATGAATATATTTATCTGCCTCAGTTTCAAGCATATTGACATTAGTGTTGTGGTGTTTGTTTCAGTTTTGAGCTGCGTATTCGCTCTTTAAATGCAGCCCAAGTGCCGTTGCCGTCCTATGCTACAGTTGAGATCAACTTGATAGATGTGAATGATAATGTGCCATTGTTTTCATTGCCAAACTACGGGGCCAGCGTACCTGAGATGTCAATTCAAGGGACATTTGTCTTTCAAGTTACTGCAGAAGATGCTGATACAGGAAGTAATGCAGAAGTAAGTGACATGTTTTGCTAGGCTAATAAAAACTAAGGTTAGATTCAAATTCTCCAAATCTTGAAATGATTGAAAGACGAAATTGACTACACGAAAAAGTGTTTTAGGGTAGCAAGACCACTACTCTGATTTACGTAAATTTTCGACTTATCCATTAATATCTTAAGTTCTCATCCTCACATTTCAATGATATTTGGTACATAGATGCTCCAGGACTATGTGACACCCTAATTAGATTAGGGTTTAAGTACATCCATAATAACTATCTAATTTGCATAATAATTTAGAATAACAAATAAACATGCATAAGCTAGAATTCCTGGCAATAATCACTAAGCTCAAGTTTGGTCTACCAATGATGATATTAGAAACAAATTATCTACCATCACTTTAAAATCACATATGAAGTAAATACAGTCCTGTGAGGTGGTGCCAGAAAGGTTAGATGACAACATCCATTTTATGACTAAACAAAAGTGACTGTTTAAGTTAATTCAAAAAATATATCTGTACATAATGTTGATTAGTATGCAAATTAGCTGCAACCTTGACACAATTTTCTGGAGAGAATATGATTTTGATGTTACATGAGTACTATATGTTCGGTATATAGTCTGAAGGAGACAAGACTACATAACTTTTCTTTTCAGCATAAAAATAGGATTTTGATATTATATGGAATGAACTTAGTCTGCTTGAGACAACAGAGTATAACTGTTACAATATCTTTCAGATAACTTACTCAATAATTGAAGATCCCGAAACAGACGATTGGAATTCATTCAGAATAAATTCTAGAACTGGTCAGATTTACACAACACAAAGGTTTGATAGAGAGACGAAGGGATCGTATTTGATTGAAGTCAGGTCTCAAGATGGTGCGCCATCGGATCGAACATTCGACCCTGACAATCCCGATGCTCCCAATAGTGGTAAGTCAATGTTATGTGTATCATCAAACAAACATGTACTCTGCAACCAATCTGTGTTTTAAAAATGGCTTCTACCTTAACTTATTGTTAATTATATTGTAGATACTGCTGCTGTGCGTATAGTGGTTAGTGATATCAATGATAATGCTCCAGCTTTTGACAGTACAGAATTTTATGCCACAGTTGAAGAAGACAGAGAGACAGGTTTTGCCATCACTACGGTAACAGCAACTGATGAAGATGAAGGTATGTCATTAAAATATTCATGAAGTATTGTATAGTTTGCCTTGTATGCATTTTGTATTTGTGTAAAACTTGTTTGTTTTTTTATCTACCAGGTGCAAATTCTCAGATACGTTATCAGATCACTTCTGGTAACCTGGGTGGTGTTTTCAGAGTTGTACCAGAAGTGGGCCGGATTGAGATTGCGGCACCCTTGGATTATGAACAAACACGGTCCTATGCATTGACTTTTGTTGCCTCAGATGGTTTAAACGAAAATACAGCTATAGTTAATATTGATGTAGTCAATGTCAATGACAACCCACCAGAATTTCAAGCTGAATATGTACCATCTATATGGGAGGAAGACGAAAACATTCCAGTCTATGTTACCACAGTGAGTAGTAATCATATTTTCAATCATCTAAACAAATCAAGTGCATATCGTCTTGTCATTGTTTCATAAATAATGTCAATTTTTGTACCTATCGTTTAAAATTTTGCATATTGAAAGATTTTAACGTACATGAAATATTGGGAAGGTGCCTTGTGTGAAGTTGTAAATGAGTATCATCTTTCTCAGTGATATGCATGTTACCATTTAGTTGTTTGCTGTATCTGTCTATCTATCTGACACAGCTGATACCACCATATAAAGACACTAAAAAATGGTTTACAGCAATTTGATTCAAACCAATAAGGTCTTTTACAGGATATAAGGTACATGTCTGGAGTGTTGTAATCACACTGCGTAAATTGTGCCTTGCATTTTGAAGAGCAGAGTTATAGAGAAATCTAACTTTAGATGGTAGTTGATACTGTTTTATGTTTATAGGTATATGCTATTGATCCTGACTTGGACAGTGATGATGATCACAATATTGTATATAGTTTACAAGGACAAGGTGCTAATGAGGAGTTTGTGATTGATCCACATTCTGGTGTCATTCATGCAACCAAGGCACTCGATCGTGAAGATCAAGCCCAATGGATCTTACAAGCTGTAGCTGCAGATGAGGATGGTGCTGGACTTGATGGTTTTGCAGACATTGTTATCTCTTTAAGAGATATCAATGACAATGCGCCAACGTTCCCCAATGGACCTTACATGGGAACGGTTCCTGAACACTCACTTGCAGGTAAGAAAAATGAATGATCATTTCCACAGAAGAAAATTTCTGAGTTCACATGTTTTGCCATTGTATAGTATCATGATTCATCTGTCAGAATTTATTTTGTGAGTTAGGAATACAAACCAAATTTTAAATATATCCATGCATTCACAAATCATCAAAATAGTATCCTAGCTCCTGCATATGTTGCTATTAAAATTATAAACTATTAAAATCAAAACTGTATTGCAATTGTCAGACAGAAAGTAAATTATCTAGAAAATAGGTTTTCTCCTTTATGATTTTGTACACATTTTATTTACCAACCACCACTCTATTTATGGCTGTGTTATAAGATCTGGAATACCAAAAACATGTCGCTGCTGTTCCATCAACTAGGATTTGCATCCTTCTACCTTTCAAATAATAACGTTTTGATTCTGTATTTTGGTCTACAGTTTTCAGAAAAATCAATTATAATAACAAAATTAACATAAATGCAGGAATATTATGATACTTACTATTGAACATTGATAAAATTTTATCGTCACTTTTAGATAAATAATACCATTTCATTTTTAAACCGTTTTACATTTTCAGTACCTGGTACAGGGCCTGGTAAGTTTGAATACAACCTATCTGCATTGAATATTAATCATACTAACATATTCCTTCTATTCAAGGTCTTATTGGCATGTATGACTTAATTGTGTCATCCTTTATAGTACATTAACCATCACCTTGTTACTGTTTTTCTTGATCTGTTAATATTGACTAATCATTATCTACTGAAATGATTTGTTCTGTTAGTCATACTATCTCTTCTTGTTAACTTACATTTCACTCCTTAGCATGGGTTTCAAAGCCTAACATATCACACAAAGATAATTCTTCATAATTTATCATTTGCTAGGAAAGTTAATAAAGTTTTCCTAATTGCTCAAAGCTGTCACATTCAGATATTTTAGTAAATCTTGTGTGTGTCTTGGAAACACATTTCTGCACAAGTTCTGATTGTGTTTGGAATAAATTACATTTTGCAGTTTGTAGTTTGCTACACTAGTATGTTCATCTTGCACTGTTTAGCTTCACTGTTTCAGTCCATTTTGTGATCAGTTTAGACAGGTTACACTCTATATGCACATGTTCATGTTATCTGTCATTGATTTCAGGAACCTATGTGATGACAATGGCAGCAGTAGACTTGGATGACCCCAATGAAGGAGATAACGCACAATGTACCTATAAAATTATAGAGAATGCAGAAAAGGATGGTGAGGTTATATTTGCTATTGACCCAGTTACAGCTGAAATAACAACTCTTGTTGACTGGTTAGATAGAGAAGATGTACCAGTTTATAATATAGTTGTGGAAGCTACTGATGGAGGAGGACTTACAGGTAATAATTTCCCTCATGACATGCCACATAAAATATGTTATTATATAAAAACAATAGAATTCAGCAGTCCATAAATCGCTGTATAGATGTATTTAAATTTTTTCATTATTTGGAAAATATGCATTGTATTTACATCATATTCAAACACTTTTCTTTGTTTACATCGGATGCAGAATTAATGTGACTGACTGTAATAGAATTATGTCACTGAAACAATGCAAATACTTTATCTAGCATTTTGAGCTGTTATACATGTATATCATTAAATTATGACAACCAGGAAGAAATGTTTAATGATATGATTATCTCAAGAATACCACAAACTTGGGCAGTATGGGACTCAGTAAAATGAATTTTCCCTTTTTCAATCTGTCTGTATTATAATTATTTTAGTTTCCCATCATAAAGCAGAATAATAGCAATTTAAAATAAGAATTAGTATATTATTTGCTACTCATTTCTTGGGCATAACTTTGTAAAACTTAAAGGGGAGCAGAGGTGTGGCTTTTGATACTCTGTACATGAAATCTGAGATCTATGAATGAATTCTGTCGATAAAAACAACTTGTATGTGCTGCGAAATGCCCTAAATATCGGGTATAAAACGGGCTGTGAAGCAGACGACAAACGTCCGCTTTTCCTGGCGTCATTTCGCCTCTAGAGGGCCAGTCAAATGACGTCATCAGTGAACACTGATAATTGAACCCATTCATGCTAGTATGTCAATCCCATAGAAATGCTACTATGAAAG